GCGAAGCCGCTCCGTGGCGGCGGCGGAGGATCCGAGAGCAGTGCTCCGGTTGCCGGAGTCCAGTCCCAGGAGACGGGAAAGCGCACCAGCTGGTTCTTTGATAGACGATGATCCACGATTTCTCTTTTGTTGTTTATTTTATCCTTTCGCCGAAGATATTTGAAGAACATTCTTGACACGCTGATATCCTACATTTTCATGTCTTCTCGTGCGATATATGCCGAGCATGTTGTGTGAATGAAGCTCCCTACTGTCTTATGATTTCCTTTTTCTCGTTTCTCTTTCTTTGTCCTCTTGTCTCTTCGTCTTCCCCGTTTGAGCCTTTGGTACATTAGAATGAGCACCCAGCCTGTGTCACCAGCGGCCTCTGGGTCTCGCCGATACCCTTGTACATGATGATAGAACGCATTACGGCAGAGTAGCTGTGAAGGACGGTGGAATAGGTTATACAATACAAAACGATCTTCTACTGCAAAAGACTGGTCACATACACTGTATACACTTATGTGCAGCTTGATTGCTAGCCTGCAGTCAGCGACTTAAAACGTCCCTACAGGGTCTGCTCTGTACCGGGTTATCCATCTATGTCCTGATTAGTTTCACTATATGCCGTCACTGCTACCTTACCTATCAAGCAAGCATATTTGGCCGGCACTGATTCTACCCTTGAAGGCTCTTTGCGATAAGAGAGATGCCTTCTGTTAAATGACATACACCACGACCCCATCCAATCTGTAATGGAATGTGCATGGCTACTTGGTGAAACACTCGCCCGCGCCGTACAAAGACATAAATTGTTGAAGCTTCTCTAATGGTATCAGAATAAATAGTTACAGATGCGTTCATTCTCAAGGCACGAGGAAGATAAATGCAACTACCGTTTCCAGCCCTCGATCTTCTTCCGCCGCTTCTCAAAGATTTGACCCACGGCTGCACCATCACCGCGCGGCCCCTCCTCTCCGTGCTTGCGTTTCCGACTCCTATCCAGCGCGCCACCACTTCCCTTAGCCCTGCGTGTAAGCCTTGAAATGCGGTCCGCACCTTCAGTAAGGCCTCTCCATTCTTCACCTCCATAAGTGTTCTTGGCGGCCTGGCCACCTCGTTTGGCTCGATCTTTTTTGCTCTCCTTTGCCAATCGAATGAAGTTGGTTTCTTCATAAGTTGTTCGTTCCACCTCGTGTTCTCTTTCCTTCTTGGACTTGGTGTGTCTGCCACCGTGAACGATCGTACTACCAATGCTAGGCTCCGCCATCGGTGCGGACGACATCTCGGCATTGACGAACTCATCGATAACGGTTGACCGGCGCGGACCACGCTCCCGGCGTTCTCTGGTTTCAGTGGTGGGAAGAGCTGTTGGCATGATCTTCGGTGGGCGATAGATGCCGTCGCTGGGGGCCTTCGTGGTGGACCTCTCTGCCCGCGCTTCCGGTTCGACTTTCTTCGCAAAGGCCGAGACGTTGGGTCGGTATGCCATCTCATCGATATCTTCCTGGTCTTCATCACTTCCTTCAGCGCTATCACTTTCACCATCGCTCGAGCCCTTCTCCGATGCCGATTCATCCTCGCTGCCAGAATACTCTGCTTCGGTTGCCTTGGTCTTCGCGGCTGTGCGTTCGGTTCTCTCCACATTCTCGGCGGCCTTGATCACTTTGTCTATTTGATACTTAAGTCGTCCCTCTAAAGGCCTCACACCGCGGTCCAGGTAAACCCGTAATTCTGCGAGCTTTTTAACGGTCTCCTCACGCAGAGACTGATCTGCTTCAGTTTCGCCATCACGATCCTTTGATAGTCCGCGCAATTGAAATAGCATCAGAAAAACAAGATTGTGTGTATAGGAGAGAAGTAAGTCGCTCTTGGTGTCTAGTAGTGATATACCATCTTGCGGAGGTTCGATCGACACTTCCGAGGGTGCGTCTCGCTTTTCCTTGGGGAGGGATGATCCGGCAGTAGTCAGACAGCCAGTAATGGTTTCCAATAGAGCAGAAATATTTTGCAAACCGGAGTTCTCCGGCTGTTGCGTAGCGGTCGCCATTGTGATGTGATGAGTGGCACTGGTTCGTTTCCACTTGTGATATGTAAACTGAAGATTTGCAAGGGAAATTTTTGGATTTCTTATCAACACGTGCCGATAGCCTCCTCGAGAGACCCATCACGTGTGCCAAGACCGATAGCTGGCCTCATCGCAACCGTCGAAGCCCGTTTTGCTCCATCATTTCCGCCCGAAAGGTCTAATCTCCGTTTAGCTCAACGCTTGACCTTCGAGGTAGCGGTTTTCCCTTGAATAATCGCCGTACCCGCCCAATGAGCCACTGAAAGATTTTTCCTGGAGTGGCAACTGTAGACTTGTATGTCAGTCAAATGCATTTCTAGAACAACATAGTATCCCAGAGCGGCGACAGACGAGCTAATCTTTACGCTTTGTTATTGTACAGAGACGCCCACAATGGCGTTCAGCAAACGAACGCTTTCCATATATTCTCTTCTTCTTGCGGCACCCTCTCTCACCACGGCCTTCTACCTACCGGGTGTAGCACCCACCTCGTACGATGAAGGACAATCAGTGCCGCTATATGTCAACCATCTCACTCCGGGGCTTGCGCAACAGGATGAGCAACTCCATTCCGTGTTTTCCTACGACTACTATCACCCCGCGTTTCATTTCTGCGCCCCTGAAAATGGACCCAAGTATATACGTGAGTCGCTAGGGAGCATTTTGTTCGGCGATCGGATTCAATCGTCGCCCTTCGAGCTCTTTATGGGCAAGAACGAAACGTGCAAAGCTGTCTGCAAGGAGGAGGCCAAGTTCGATTCCCGTAGCGCCAAATTTACCAATCGGAGGATTGTGCAAGGATACAACTTGAATTGGCTCGTGGATGGACTCCCCGGCGCCCAGATCAACGTGGAATCCGTCACCGAGGCTAAATTTTACAATCCGGGCTTTGCGCTGGGATCATTGAATGACAATGGACAGGCGGTCTTGAACAACCACTTCGATATCTTTATTGAGTATCATGCAGTAGGGTACGGAGCCAAGGACAAGTATCGGGTTGTCGGCGTGCTAGTTCAGCCCGACTCCCGCGGGAATTCCAAGGTTCAGGGTGACGGGACCGTGGACTGTGGATCCAGTGATGTCCCGGTTATTCTGGATGAGGATAGTGAGACTGGCGTCACTTGGACGTACAGCGTGTACTGGCGTGAATCATCTACGCCCTGGGCTACCCGCTGGGATAAGTATCTGCATGTCTACGATCCGAAAATCCACTGGTTCTCTTTGATCAACTCCGCAGTCTTTGTGGTTTTCCTGGTCGGCATGGTGAGCATGATCTTGATCAGGGCTCTCCGGAAGGACATCGCCCGGTATAATCGGCTGGATATGATCAACCTAGAGGATTTGGATGGAACGTCGGCCGCTGTGGAAGATGGTATCCAAGAGGATTCTGGCTGGAAGTTAGTACATGGCGATGTTTTCCGATGCCCGAAATCTCCCCTCCTGTTGAGTGTCCTTGTTGGAAATGGCGCACAGCTTTTCATGATGACGGGCGCGACAGTCCGTAAGTTTACCTGGTGGTGATGGCGAATTTCTTTATACTAATCGGCTGGTCTAGTTGTCGCTCTCTTTGGTCTTCTATCCCCAGCCAACCGTGGTTTCTTAGCCACAGCCACCCTTCTCATTTATACACTTTTCGGGTTTATCGGTGGCTATGTGTCCGCTCGAGTATACAAATCGTTCGGCGGAGAAGCTTGGAAGCGCAATATTGTTATGACCCCTGTCCTAGTTCCCGGTTTTATTTTCAGCACCTTCTTCTTGCTCAACCTGTTTGTATGGGCAAAAGGTTCCAGTGGGGCTGTGCCCTTCGGCACTATGCTAGCTCTCGTTGCGATTTGGTTCGTCATTAGCGTGCCGTTGAGTGTTGCGGGTAGCTGGCTCGGATTCAAGCAGCGTGTATGTTTGTTTTGCTTGTGATGCTTATGATATCCTGGACTGAGACGTGTCCATGCTGACCCTTTCCCTAGGCTGTGGAAGGACCCACGAAGACCAATCAGATTCCCCGCCAGGTCCCTCCCATGACTGGCAGTCTTCGGACCATCCCTTCGTTGCTGCTGACAGGTATTCTTCCCTTCGGGGCGATCTTTGTGGAGCTATACTTTATTATGACGTCGCTTTGGACCAACAAGATCTACTACATGTTTGGGTTCCTGTTCCTATGCTACGGGCTGATGATCCTCACAACTGCGGCTACGACGGTGCTCTTGGTGTACTTCCTGTTGTGCGCAGAGAATTACCGGTGGCAGTGGAGGGCTTTCGCTGGCGCCGGTATGACTGGCGGCTATGTCTTCCTCAACGCGCTGCTTTTCTGGGCAACCCGAGTGAGCTTTGGCGGTTTTACGGGTGCGGTGCTGTATGTCGGATACTCCGCACTGATTGGGTTCGTTGTTTTCATCTTGACTGGTAAGTTGCGGGCTATCTTTTCATGTTGGTTCCATCGCTGCTAACTAATTCATCTACAGGCTCGATCGGATTTTTCGCAAGTTGGGCATTTGTACAGCGCATCTATAGCTCCATTAAGGTGGACTAAAACGTTCTTGATGCTGTATTTCCTCAATTGACCGGACACCGCGCTTGGCGGCCTTGCCTCTTCACCTCTGCGCCGTACAAAATGATGGAGGCTCTTTTTCCTCCCCCCCAGTCTTGTTCCGAATATCCCCTGTATAACTTGCGCGCATTCGTATTTCATTTGCTAACTCCATCCGATGCATTGTCCATGACCTGTACATAGAGTATCCGAGAATGCTGTTTTCGTGTTTGGAAGATTGTTTGGCGCTAGTGGAGCGGGTGGGATTTGATAATTCATGTGCACGGACAAGGTCAACCGAACCGTATTGTATGATATACGAACGAAGTCATTGAACACAGTACCAAGTAGATATTTCCTGGGGTGCATATCGTAACTTAGCAAACTACGGCGTGGACCCCTAGTGCGTCAGCTCTCTTGCGTCTCTCCCTTGGCGGTCAAAGGTCTGGACCGGCGGCTCCCCCGGTGTTTAACGCCACTAATCACTCTTCTTTCCCCCCGGTTTCAATCTATTTTCCCATTTCCAAATCCCGCTGATCGGAAATCCCAATTGCTCCCCGTTTCCCTGGTTTACGTCAAATCTTTCGTGGTTGAAATCTTCACGGGTCTGGTTTGCCTCGTGCTTTCATCCGGTCTTTAATACTGTGAAACGATCCCTCCGGCCACGGGGCGCACGATCTTATCAATCCAAACCTCGTTTACCCCGCGATCTTCCGCAGCTGCATCTTGCACTCCCCTCCTCAGCGCATAATAGATCGGATCGACCTGTGAGATTAAGATCTCTACAAAAGCTCTTAAGTGATATTTTACAATAAATCTGGAGCAGTCTTGAGGCGCGTGTTGTGATCATGGGTAAATCGTAAGTGCGCGTGCTTCTCCGTTTTTGCGTACTCTTCACAGCCATGAAAACAATATGAACATTCAAGGCGGGATCTCCATGCGCAGTCCCTGTCTTTTCCTTGCTGAGAGCAACAGCCTTGGCGATCAAATTGTCTCGCTTGTCGTCACATTCTGCTTGTCCGGCTTTTCTTCCGCTCTTTCCTGCGATGCCGTGATTTCCCTCACTGGTTGGTCCGTGTGCGCTAACACCAATAACCGGTCAGTCAGTCGAAGCTTTCCCCCTCCCAGCTCGATGAGCTTCAGAAAGCTACCCATTTCGACAAAAAGGAACTGCAGCAATGGTATAAAGGTGCGCTGACACGTACCTCCCTATATGTCAAAAGATATTTGGGCTGACCGAGGCTTTCCGGTGTAGGGTTTTTGAAGGACTGCCCCTCGGGAACCTTGACCAAGGAAGAATTCCAGAAGATCTACCGACAATTCTTCCCCTTTGGCGATCCGTCATCATTCGCCAACTACGTATTCCGTGTCTTCGATTCGGATAATAGCGGGATGATCGATTTCAAGGAATTTATTTGTGCATTGTCGGTCACATCCCGGGGCAAAATGGAGGACAAGTTGGATTGGGCGTTTCAGCTGTATGACATCGATGGGGATGGTAAGATCACGTACGACGAGATGCTCGCTATCGTGGAGGCGATTTATAAGATGGTATGTCACCCGCTAGCATTGGAAGGAGTCTGTGACTGAGCGCTGACGGATGATTAGGTGGGCTCGATGGTGAAACTCCCCGAAGATGAGGACACCCCGGAGAAACGAGTTCGCAAGATTTTCCGGATGATGGACAAAGATGAGAATGGCAGCCTTGACATGGAGGAGTTTAAAGAGGGTAGCAAGCGCGACGAGACGATCGTGAGCGCCCTGTCTCTGTACGATGGACTGGTATGAGTGGGTGGTCGCATTTGTATGTTTCTTCTCCCATGACCTATAAACCTCTCCCTCTTCTCTTCTCTTTTCTTTTCTTTTTCTTTTTCGGCGAATCCGGCGTAGTCGGAAGTCTTGGTTTTTTCTTTTCTCCTTTTCTTAACTTAACCATTTCTGTCTTGTGTTTATTATTTTCTTTTAGGTCTTTTTGCGTCTAGGATTCCCATTATTGCCTGTCCCTGTACTTGTCTACCTGGTGCCCCGTATTGGTGGTATTCTGGTCGGATCGCTTCTCCTGTACACTTTCCCCCAGTCTCGATTGAATGTGCTATATCCTAGCCATATCTTTCGGGGGCATTTATCATGAAAATACCATAGGAAACGGTCTGTCTCGTTGGTCTCTTTGGATTTCATTGACAAATTTATGTCCTTTCAGTTTGCAGAAAAGAAAGCGCGAGATGGTTGATTGAGTCTATGCTTCTCCTGATATGGTGAGGGGATGGATTGACGATTATGTTGGCATGTTCGAACGTTTGGCGGGCATTTGCATGACTGAGCCTTCGCAATGTAGTTTTTAGAGTTGAGATGTTCCGAACCTAAGGTGTACAGAGATTCGGCATACATACAGAAAGATATATATATGTACATTTACCCCTACTCCGGGACGGTGGATACTTGAGATGTCCACACCTAGTCTCTTGTGTGGTCCTTTGCTACATGTGCTAGCTTAAGACGAAATGCTACCTGAGTAGGTAGTACTACCGCATTGGTTAATGAAAGAAATTATCTAGTACTAGCCAGGACTCTTACTAGGTAGTAGGTAGTACTAGTTAGCAGTCTCGTACTATTGGGTACTACTCTTTCCGGATTCGGCCCGATATGTCGCTGCTTTTTGCTCAGGGACCACTCCCTGCCTACTTCCAGCCATGTATAAAAATACACAGCTTCTGAAAGCTCTCGAGTTTATACACAGTGCCGGCATGTGTCACGGTGGTAAGAAAGCTCTCCCTTCTAACTGTATTCCCCCCAGTTAGGGAAAGTGGTTCTTACATAGTATTAGATATAAGCGGTCGAAACATGGCATTTAGTTGCAGTACTCTATCCTACGCAACGGAAAACGAACTTTTTGAAGTTCTTGGACCCAGAAATCGAGCCGCTGGTCCCTGTTGATGGCGCACCTTTGCAAATTGGATTGCCAACTCAGCTAGTTGAGGCAGCAGAGTGGGTCGAGTGGGTAGATGAAGACGACAAAGAAATTCGTCTGCTTGATGTTGGAGAGAGCTTTCTTCAAGGGGAGGAACCTGAAGTGTTGGCTCAGCCAGGAACATCGAGATAATCTTCACAGGCAGTTTTGATTATCGCGTCGATTTGTGGCGCGCAGGGTGCATGGTAAGTGTATTCCTCTAATAATTTACAACCACCACCTCTGCTAAAACATAAGATACAGATTTATTCGTTCATATTCAACAACATATCCATTCTGGTATCTTGGAGAGGACGAAGTTTTAGTCTTCCAAATGATTGGCTTTGTGAGAGTCTACCAACCGAGTGGCACACCTTATGGACGGTGTTTCTAATGCTGCTTGAAAGATTTGCGATCTGTCCGAGCTAGAACGAAAATTCGCCGATGAAGTGCGACATCCAAAACTAGCCCCTCTTCTTTCAGGTTATTCAAAGATTGATGCGATTCCTCCCAGGTGCTCGCATCACTGTAGACCAGGCGCTTAATGCATTGAGCAGGACTGAAACGCAACTGGCACAATAAGACTCTCTCCTTTCGATTCGTACGCCGTTAGTATTTTATTTTTGAACACTGAGTTCTTATGAACTAATGCGTTGAAAAAAAGTGAAACAAAAAGGGCCAGCGAGGGACGTGACTAAATTTCCAATGAACTATGAACTATGAGAAAAAGGTGTGGGAGGCGTTGTTGTCCTGAAGAATATTATATTGGGCTTCATTTCTTAGTGTACTCTATTGATGGAACATCGATGGGAGGTTCCACTGCCCTAGTAGTGGTGGCTCTTTCCCGGCCCACAGTGTCAACTCCACCCTTTCACATTATTATTCTCTTTTGTTCCCCGGCAATTTCCCCCGAAACCTCCAGCCGATGACTCCATTCTGAAAGAAACTACTGCGTCAGTCGTTTGAGACTAACGCTTTGCTCCATGCCGAACGGGTCCGGATACGAGAACGAAGGCGCTCTGCTTCATTCCTGCGCCAATGGTTCGAGTGCCACGCGGTTGTCGTGGCTGCATTGACGCCCACCTTAAGGTCCGTGTAGCCTGTTCCTACCAATGCTTGTTTCCCCCCTGCGCATTCACTGTTGCCTAAGTGTGATGTATAATGAACATGCTTTTCCCGCACCAATCAATTTTCCTCTGAATGTTGTGCGGTGACCGCATTCCTTTCCAAATCGCCCCCAGTGGCACTATCCCACTTGGCCCCCTTCAAAACCAGCACAGATCACAGATGCCGAGATCCCGATCTATCGTCTCGATCTAGATTATGGCCCTTGCAGAGAAGTGGAGCCCGGCGTCAATTCATTGATTGATTTCTGGATACCAGCCAATGATGCCCGATACCTTGATCCTGCCGATGATAACGCTAACCCCCCACGACAGTGCGATGGCAGGAACCCTTGCGCACGATGTAAAAGCCTCAACACACCCTGTTTGCGCCAAATCAGAGCGATCGAGTTCCGCGACCAAGGCCCCGCCTTGCGACAGAAATATCGGTCGACGTCGTCGCAGCCCTCGCGCCTCTCACCAGTCTTGGATCGTGAAGGTGACCCTCCCTTGAGGTCGACCCGGTCCAATATCCAATATCTGCCGGTTGCCTTTCCGATCAACGAAACGGTATCGCATTCGCTGTCCGTTACCGCCGCCTCATCCCTGCAGACCCAGGTATTTACCAACTTCGTCCTATCAGCCTTCCCCTGCTATTTCAAATGCACCGAGACCCAAGTGCCGGTAAATTGGGTGGAATATGTCGAAAATCGGAGAGGGACTAATTCATGTTTCGATTGGGCTCTCCGCGCTTGCACTACCTCCTATGCAGGTGCTGTGCACAATGACCAGCGACTTCTGAAAGAAGCTCGGGTGATGTATATTCAGTCCTTACGGTGCCTGGGCGGGTTGTTGTCCGACGTCTCCACAGCCAAATCGGACGAGGCCTTGGCGACGGCGATCACCCTCGCGGTTTATGAGAAGCACCACTGTACTGATGCAGACTCGTGGCTAAAACATGCGTCAGGGATCCGGACCCTGATGAAGCTTCGGGGTCCGGCGGCTCATCTTCATGGGTTTGGTTGTGCCATGTACGTCGCTTATCGAGGCTTCTTAGTCACAGCGGCCCTGATATCTGGGGAAGAATGCTTTCTGCAGGAGCCTGAGTGGCAGGCCCTCAATGAAGAAATTGCCGCGAACAATGCCAAGCTACCCGATTCATCCTTGTATACGGATGTTGTGGAGCGTGGCTTCCTCGAGGTCCTGAAGATACCCGGGCATGTAAAGCAAGTGCGCAAGTTGCTCTCCCTTTCCTTAGAGGAGAGGGCTAGGCGTCAGCCGGACGTCTTGCGTAGCGTTCAGGCCGCCCGCGCGGCGCTTCGAGGGATTAACACGGAGTTTGGTATCTCGGTGTCAATGCGTCGTACTGGTCAAGATGCTCGACAGAGCTTCATCGGCCCGTCTCCACATTTCTTTCTCGACGGCTACTCGACACTTTTCGCGAGTGGTGTTCGCTCGGGCCTGCTGATCCTCAACCAGCTGGTCCTTGCCATGGATCCGACACAGCGAACCTCGCTCGAGTTAGAATGTCCACTTCTTTCGGGGGATAGTTGTTCGAGCCCAGCCAGCTCCGAAGGTTCTGTGATACGTCCTTTAACACCACCGGACTCGCCACATACGCCGCAGCTAGTAGTAGAGTCCTTGATCACACCCACGTACAGAAAACCGCCTACGACAGACTGGATGGATCACATTGCAGGGACGATGGGTATGGACGGAGTACGGGTGAGTTTGCTTGAATAACCTTGACAATTGACGGCGTTGAGTTTCTATGAGTCTGGAGTTTAGTTGCTTGAAACTGGACCTGGTGTTGTCTCTTCTTGATACCCCTACAAGTAGATAGAAATGTGAATATTGATGATATGTATTGCTGTACTTTGCGGCAGTCACTACTTTGGGAAACGCCCCTTCTGGATCCTGCTCATGAAGCGTCTCTTTCCGTGACTACGCTGTTTAGTGTGTCATTCTTCAAACTTGTTCAACCCCACAAGATGTGAAGAATCAATCCTTGCAATGGCAGGTTGCCCAGTCGTCTTTTGGTTCTACTTCACTATGTTGGAGACAAAGTCATCATCAAACACTGATCTCCACTGGGACTCTCAGGTCGCATAGTGTCAAATCATTAGCCGGGCCAAGTTCACTTCCAAATCATCGGCACGGGTCACTCCAGCTAGGGTCCGATGGCGTTGACCACCTACACGTGCACCACATTCGGGACAGGTGGAGATTTCCATAGCACCACCGCAGTCTCCGATGGTGAAAGGATGATTATTCTCGCAACGATACCAATGTCCGGTGCCTCTAAATTCCCGCGCCATAGCAGCGACAACCGCCATTCTTTCTTCACTGGTCACGGGTGTGTAAAACGTACCGCCGCGGAGCATCTTCAAAGTGCCCTCGATTTCGTCAGAAAGTCCACGCACCTGCCCAGGGTGCGCCGTACACAGCTTTTGGGCTCGGTCAATGCACTCATTACCCTCTTCCAGAAGGTCCTCTACCCGTGTTGGCTGGCCGCTGCTCTGGCTCTCTAGGGCACACAGTTGAGCGCGGAATAGATATCCCTCGACCTGGTGCAATACGCGCTGTGAGTTGACAGCCATGGCCGTCAGCTTTTCGCCTTCCTTTCGGTTTGCCTGAAGGTCAAGGTGTAGAACACATTTGTTGGACTTGCCAGGAGTTTGTTTATACAAAGAGAGGAAGTCCCCAATCAATGCTGTGTCGAGGCGAAGCAATAGAGAAGCTGCTTGAACGCAGCCTTTCGTCTGAAGTACATTCTCGTCAAATTCAAATTGCCCGGTTTTTCGTTTGCGACGACGGGCGTCTTCCACCATGTTGCGTACTTGGTTGAATGGCTGCTCCTCCACCTTGACTTTGTTATAGTATTCTGTAACCTGATGCCGCAAGAGGATTAAATCTTTCCACCTTGTCGTATCATACTTCCCGAGCTGCTGGTGCATCAATCGGATTTGGTGGTCTGGTGGCCCTTGAACCTTGAGAGTAAGTTCATTTTGGAATGCTTTTGCTACCGCCGTCCCTTTGTGCTGTGGCAGCTGAGCCACAAATTGGGCAAGTTTCTGAGCCATCGGTACGTACTGCTGATTTACGTACAGAATGAATTTCTTCGTCGCTTCGTCCAACAAGGCACGCCTCACGAGTCTCCCATATCGGGATATACTTCTCAACGAACCTCGACAGGTGGCACAGTTCCGAATGTCCGAGATGGAGAACGGCTCGGATGATTTGGAGATTGAGATCGGCTTTCCCATTTCATCAACCACATAGTGTTTCCCAAGATCCATTTGAGCGTCCATGTTTTCCACAGTTAGAAAATGTCCACATGGGGGAAATATGCAAGGATTTTCGTCTAGGTCAATCTCTTTGTATGTCTGACCCAAGATGAAGTCCACAGATATATCCTTGATGTCGTCAGTCGCACATGTTTGACAGAATTTCTCCGCTGGACAAGGTTCACCACATAAGGACGGGCATTGGTGGCCGCAAGGTAGAAATTTCTCGCATCGTCGAGAGCATGGAATGTGATCACACGGAGCGGCGCAAGGCATGGAACACGCGCTATGCGGACAGACAGACAGGCATTTTGATACTGCACAAGGGGCACATGGCTCGGAACATTTTTGAGAACACCTGGAGTGAACACACTGGACATCACAGGGCGCTGTGCATGGCGGACACGGAGTCTCCCCGTGGCATTCTGCTGCACAGGTATGGGCACATGTGGAATAGAGACGGCCACACCTTTGCTTGCATGGCCCATGATCTGCCTTGGTTTCCTCATTTGTCTGAATCATACATTGGCTGCATTGACGCTTACAGTTATGGCCGCAGGGTAAAGCAGCATGACATTGGCGCGTGCATTTGTACTCGGGCTTGCTCACATCGATGTGACAGGCGATTGTTACTTCATGGTTGCAATAAGGAACATGCTTTTTGACAAACATTGGACATTTAACGAGGCTGAGATCTTGTGCTTGCCAACAAGGAAGACTGGCCATTGAGTGACCACAAGGGAGGACCCGGTCTGCATCAAATACTACGATGCCGCATCTCTTCGGACATGTGTCACCACAAAATTTGGGACAAGGGTGGGAACATCCTTTCTGTGGACGTGGGCATGGCTCTGGACAATAGACTGTCTGGTGAAGTATCTCTGAGTGGCATTTTTGCTTGCACGGGTGACCACACTGTAAACGCTTGCCGCATCGCAGACTGCAACCTCCTTCAGGCGAAAATTGCACGAAGTCGTCCGGCTGTGATACAGTGATGGGAGTAGAAGGGTGGCGGGGGCATTTGAGCTCTAAGCCTGTGCCAAAGTTATCATGTTCTTCAAAGATGCCAAGAACCTTATGCCACATGTCCACACCCCTTGAGGTTTCCGAGTTACCGATGATATACATTCCATGCTGTGCACGCGAAAGCAAAACATTGATGCGATTTGGTGTGCGGAGGAAGCCACATCGATTTTGATCGTTGCTTCTCACCAGAGAGATCACCACCACCTTTGCCTCCTCACCCTGGAAGTTGTCAATAGTCGCGACTCTCAGTGCCTGTAGGAGGGTAGATCTGGACACTGCGCTCGGCGGCGTCGGTCTTTCATCTTCTGTGAAGCCTGCCTTGTCAAGGTCGTCCTGGTCTCTTTCTCCAAGGGTGATTGTGAATGCTTGGCTTAGTGTACGCCTCATTCGGTGAAGCTGGCCAAGATATGGAGTCAGAACAGCTATGTCACCTGCTTGGTATGTTCCTTGGCGCAGCAGATGGTTTACCAAAGCCGATGTCAATTCAATTTCGTGATCGTTCCAGTGAGATGTTGCCATGGCATCCTGGATCGAAGGGTTGCCTTCAGGCCGTCGATGGTCAAGCCAGAAAAGCCTTTTCCTCATACCTGCAACCTCAGGATACTGACTAACTGAAGGTGCGTCCTGTAAGTTAGGGTACAATGTGTCTCGGACCAGCTGTGCGATTGAGGGATGCATCCGTCGTTGTGTTTCCAGTGTAGAAAATGGGAGCCTTATGTCAACGGCATCATCCGGTTCGACAAGCCGTTCGAATAGGGAGCGATCCAAGGAGTATTGTTGTCCTGTTCTGCTCTCTCGAGAAAGCCCGTAGTTCTGGATCTGAGGCCGAAGCTGCTGATGATCTCCGATCAGGATGACATGCTCGGCCGATGGTAAAAGTGAGGTGAGGAGATGAGCTTCTAGGACCTCGCCCGCCTCCTCGCACATGATCACTTTCGATTGTAGTCTGCGCAGCATGTTCAGATTGCGGGCCAAGCCAGTCGTCGTGACTCCTATTACATCCGCATTACGCAAGCATCGCAGATCTAGTTCGTCTCGGATCCTATCATAGGACGCTTTATTTTCCTGGTGCGATGCCAAGATCGAGCGAGCTTGAGTATGGAGATCTTGTCTACTTTCTCCGATCCAATGATTGTATAATATTCTGCGTTCCTTGGAAGTCATGTTGTCCAAATGAACCTGATGAAGGGCGTCCACCGCACGCGGCTGGCCCTTAGTTGCTGGACCCGATCTAAGCCACGTCTGTAGAAGGTGTTGACGGCGTCGATTAGAAGCCTTCTCAAAACCATCCTCCGCCTTGCCGAACAGTTGACTAAATTGGCGAGGATGGTTTCGCTTCAGATGGAACTGCAAGCTTCGATCGGTGCCTATTGCATCTAGTTTAAGTGCATCGAATCTGTTTTCGTAATCATCGAAGTTCACTTGCAGTTTCCACTGCTCCTCCTTTTCCAACCTTGTTTTGTCAATCTGTCGAACTACGGTTTTGAGATTGAGTGGCTGTAGTTTTTCTGACTTGGACTGCGAGCCGATACGGATGATTTGAGTCGTGATTTCATTGTCCAATAGGTCTTCTAGAAGCTGATCGAGAGCGTGATTCGTGTAGCAGACACATATGATAGGGCCAAGCTGTGGCTTTACTTTCGCCTTGTTAGCGAGCAGGACATTGATCAGAGCGACACCAGTATAGCTTTTGCCCGTGCCTGGTGGGCCTTGGATCAGTCCTATCTTTCGCTGGAGTGTATGGACAAGAGCCCGTGCTTGTGCATGATCAAGGGTAGACTTCTTTTGGAGCTTCTCCATGTCAAGGGGTTGCGACGGGCTCACTAGGAGGTCCGACCGGTCGTCCATGAGACAACGTAGGTTGAAACTAAACCCTGGCACCGCCGCATACTTGGGAGGCGGCATGTCCACTAGGCCTGTAAGCATCTCGTCTGGCGCGAGGAATTCGGACATCGGAAGGTCTGCAGCTTTCTTCATTGACTGAAGTGCCTTTAAGGTTGGTTGGAATGATGGCAAGAGAATCCCAGGAAACTCAATCAATGAGAGTGCGCGTCGGCCGTTGGGCGGCCGGTAACAATCTAGGATATACTGCCGATTCTCCTCAGTCGGTTCCACTAGCTCCATGGTCACAGATGCAACTCTCGCCTCCTTGAACAGCGAGGAGACCTTCCTTTGCCGCGGTTCTTGCCTCACATCCATTCTGGGACGCTCTGGCCCGGCGACGGTGCAAAAGATGGCGAATCCTCGGAGATCCGTGAGGCAAACGAGGGCGCTGGATTGTAGTCTTTTCGATAGCTCCCACCATTCTCTGCGGTGAGCCTCCGACACGGACCTGACATTCAACGGCTGTGCAAACTGGACAACAAACTGCAAGCCCATCAAACGATCGAAATCCAGCCCCCGTACCTGGACGTCCTGATAGACGTTGGTCCTGACTTGACTCTTCGGCGCATCTCTTGACCGGCGGGGCCTCAGCTCAGCATGACTAACGTCTCGAAGTTGGCCGATGGTGTCTTCCCTCAGCAGCCGAAAATTTCGGTCCAAGAGCCCGGCGAGACCGCCGATATGCCACTGTTGCGGGTCTTTCCCCGGGAGATATTCGGAACGCGGACTCATTATTTCCTGGAAAGTAGGCATGATTTTGATCCTGCAAATATCCGCATGATCGTTGTCGTGGCGACCGCCAGGCGGGTCTTTCGGAGTGACAAAGGCTACAGGAGATTTATGGGCTTGTCGAGGCATTGAGCTTCCCAGCAAAGGGGGTAGGGCGGATCCAATCTCCAACTGACGTTGTAATACTTCCAGGTGATGCCGCGGTCGGTCTAGTGACCCCGCAGTCTTCAGGGCGTGAAGGATCATGAAGAGGTCGTAAAATCGCCTCGCGACCGGCTTCAACGGCTCCTGGATGAACGCAGTCGAGTTCAGCTCAATAACCTTACAGAACACCAGGAGCGCTAGTTCTAGGTAAGTCGAGGTTGCATCTGAGTGAAGTTCAATGTCCAGCTGCACAACATCGGCCAGAAAATTCAGAAATGGCTCTGCACGATGCCCGGCTGGTCCGTAGATACAGTTGTAGATTTTCACCACAAACTCCTCCATCACTAACGACGCGAGAACTTTGTGATGGGTGATACTCTCGAGAAAGGGGAGGAACTGCTTTTGAAATACATCTCGTTTGGTGACATTTGGCATCAGAGAATAGTCACGCTGAATGAGTTCCTGGATTCGTTGCAGACCCCCCTCGTGGGAGAGGCATTGGATCACTTCTTGAGCCGTGCTGTCATCGTCCACTTCGATCAGCCTTCTGGCCGTTGCAAAGAACTGGCCCAGCTCTGCACCTAGGGGAGGGATCGCTAGTCGGCTCTTAGGGGCTTTTCGCTTCCAGGCGGCAAGGCCGTTGCTGTCGTTGGTTCTATGACTGGGTTGTTGTCTTCGCGCGCTCGATCTCGAGTTGTTTCCTTTGCCTGCAGGCTTTGACGGGCCGGCCTCATGGGAATATCGACAATTCTTGAACTTGCAGGACCCAGTTCGGGCAAAGTCAAAGCATATCCTGGCGCAATCTATTAGCGTCGTGTTGGACATATTTTCGTATGGATAGGGTTACTTTGCGGATCCCATTCTGCTGATCTCACAGCGGGGTCTCGTATACTTCGAGGGACGGTCGGACGTATCCGAGTCCGCATGAAAGGAACCCTTTTCTTTGGACGCAAGTGTAGATGGTGAGGAGGTCCCAGAGGAGGTTGGAAAATTAAGAGCTATATGCTATGTCTGGCCTGTCGACTACGGTCGCAGAATGTATGTGGAGGAGACACATCAACCACGAATATCTCCTTATTTTAATCGAAAATGGTTGAATGCCATGGGAGACCCAGTATATATTCACTGATGTACTTGAGATGTGTGAATATGCCATTGTGGCGTCACGCCGCCAGCCTTTCTCTCGGTATGACTCGATGATTCTCAGCCGTGGTCTCTCCACTCGAGCTGAAAGGACTGCCACATCATTTCGCATCAGCGGGGAGTTTACGGTCTTGAGTCAGTGAATCCCACTTGAGAATATTGATTGGCTGTCGGTTGCAGTATCTGTTTTTTTTCCAATTGGAGGCGCAGCTTCAGCCTTGCCGGTGAAATCATCAGCCAGCGGGAGTTGACGTGGTCCTGTCGCAGGCAGCGAAACTTGGAGGAGGCTGGCGCCTGTGCCACTGTTCTTTCCAATGAACATCGTTCAATCTATCAATATACAGTTAGATAATATCGTTATATACACAGGCACCCCAAGCCCAAGCCCAAGCCCCAAAATATACAACCCCCCTATCAAACCAACCTAAGAAGACGACCCAGAGCCAGACCCGATCGCTCTTTTCTTCCTCCCAATATCATAAATGATATTTCCACCCCTCAAAACCACTCCAGGGATCCACCCTTTCTCCTCCATCCACACAAAGGGCCACCACAGGAAAACCCCCAGCACACAGAACACCGTCGCGAACGCATGTATGGCCAATACAATCCAGTGCCCGATATGCGGGAGGACGAACTTGACAAATTCCGAGGTTTGATAGAGATCCTCTTGTTTGGTGATGTAGTAGAGTTGGCGGTGCCCGTTGGTGTGGGCGGTTAAAGGCGTTTTGTGATCTGGGTTGCCGTTGGCCACGACGTCGGCGTAGCTTACCCCTTCTTCTTGTTCTTTTTCTTCTTTGGGTTCGTGTGATTTTTCAGAGGACGCCATTGTAGACTGGGAAGAAGATAGATAACCATTCGGATTAGTAGTCAGCGATAACACAGTCGTCAGCGTCACAGGCGCCACGTGAAATGGAACAATCCAGATCGTGAAGATCTGGGACATGGTCACGTAGAGTTTTTGGTTATCGGAATCATATGCTGTATCCCATTAGCATCCATCATCAATCATATATCTTCTCTTATAGAGAATTGTATAACGGATTGATATGACGAGGGAAAAAGAACAACAAACCAATAGAATGAATCTTCATGTCAATGCGCGGCGACATCACTTTATACCACTGGTAGATCTTTTGCACCACCCAGCGGCTGCCTCGGAAATGCTGGATCCGGCAGAAAGGGTGGACGAAAGAGGCATCTGGGGTGAAGTATTTTTCGATGGTTTGCGCTTGTTGCGCCGGAGGGGATTGCGTGAGGTGCTGGATCACCGTGGGGATCTCGGAGACTGGGGGTTTCTTGGATGTTAGGTTTTGTTTGAATTGTACTAAGGAGGTTTGGGAAGGGGGTTTGGCATGTACCTGGATCTTCCATCGTGTGCTTTCTGGTATTTTATTTGTAAGGTTCTGAGGGATTGATGTTCACACGAGAGGACATGAAGATTGATGTCTTTATATGGACTATTTTTCTTTTCGATATCAAAACCGGGACCCGATGATGATGTCATTGCATGTGAAAGTCAATTGACTGCGATTTCCTGTTTGGGTGTTGTCACATGATATATCCATTGCAGTGAAGTCGATATGCGGTAATTCGGGTGGAAAAGGGAATTCATGTGTTCAATAGATGTATAAATAGATAACGTGAGTAATTATGAAGCAGTGTAATCGTGACATATAACTCGGCAGAAATACAAGGGGTGGTGTGACGATAAAGTTCGGAAAATTGCAGTGTGAGGAAGGTCACTGATTTGATCATTCCATTTTAAACTCCATCTAGACTCGAACGACCAACATTAGATTTTATGTGGACACGGCGACGATGTCAGGATGAGGGAAATTGTCGATAGGTCGTGGATTGGATCCTTAACTTTGCTGCACACCATCAGATGTCCGGAACCTGATCTCCGGAACACAACCGACTCCGGTTGTATCTCGACATATCAGCACTTCTTTGCAATGTTCTCCTACGATATATTCCAGAATGTTGTAACGGGATCGAGCTGGGAGCCTTAAAACGGAAATCCTTTGACTGCAACTGAGTTTATCAATATGTCCAAACTGCAGCAACGGAGGAAAAGGGAGAAAGATATCAATGACGCGATATCTTGGTCTGGTCGGTCGTTGACTGTACGGAGAGAGTCCCCTTACAATCTTGTGCGTTCATTTCTGGTAGATATTTCCCAATAACTCCATAACACAGACAATCTATGCTGGCATCTCCATTTCGCACCGCGACTACGGAGATAGTAGGGCCGCCATCGCCTTTCGAAATTCGGCATACCTATTCGACTATGTCGTATTTGATCTGCCTGCTGAGTCTTCCAACACACCTGCCCTTACCATTCGCAATCGGATCGTCTCCGAATTGCGGTCCTACAGTGAGAAACATAAGGAAAAGATCGTAGGTCTGGCCATGCCACTGTCCCTGGCCGACAAGTACCCATCTCTCTGTCCTCAGCTCTGGCGGGAACTAGATATCCTGCCTCTAGTTCTGGAACACAAAGAACGTGCAAGGGCGGATGCGGACCAGGGCGACTTGGCGACATTCTCATCGTGGAACATCAAAGAGCTGGATGAACAGGCGGACTCCATGGTTAGAAAGTGTATGCGGTATGTATACGTGAGAGGCCTAGATTTAAGGGTACACATCTGATCAGTCACAGGTCTTTCGGCGTGGGCCATGTCTTGCAGGGGGAAATTGGTCTCGGGAGCTTGGTAGGGGTTGACCGGAATTTTCGCGTGCGGTTGGCCGATTTGGAAGACTACCAGGAGACGGTGACCGCTCGGACATGGTCCATTGCTCAACATTATGCAGACGAACTCAAGCGACGGAATGTGAAAATTGCGTTCTTTAGCTTGTCCTCGCATGGGAGACCGGATATTCATACGAGGCACTCACTGGTGAGGCTCTTACATTACCTGGGGGTCAATGTTCAATGGTGAGGAGGCCTTCTAGATTCTGCAACTGTGGTAGCGGCTTAAACCCTGTGGTCTAGGTATGTCCCGAAGCCACGTCCAGGGATGAATAGCATTATTCGGAAGATGCAAGATACCCTAGAAGGATTAGGCACAAGGGATGATGCTATCACCATTGAGGAGGAAATGTGTATTCTGCAATGGGTTTATGAAAATGCCCGACGATACTGGCTCTGTGAAGATGATCCTTTGCAGGCTCGTTCCAAGGGCGGCGCAGACATTGTAGTCATCGACGACGTGCCCCTTACACCCGCAGCATTATTGTCGAAACAGGTCGATCCGGGACGACCAGTTATTTTTGAAAATCGACTTCAAGTCCAACTGAGCGCGTTGCAGGATGCGAAGAACTTTTCGACACGTCTGTGGGACTTTCTGCGGGAACGTCTCGAGCATGTGGATCTTGTAGTATCTCAGGCTCCGAAAGAGCTGGTACCGGATATCATGCCGCAGAACAAGGTTGGCTATATTCCCGTGTCAGTAGACCAGTAAGTCTCTCACTTTCTGAGAAGATGTTCCCGCATGCTAATGTGCTGTAGACTGGATGGACTCAATAAGAATATGAGCGACTTTGACATCACGTTTTATGGACGCGAGTTCAACTCCTTGTGTCGATCCTTCGAGACACCGACTTTGAACTATCCAGATGGTAGTTTATGTTCTTTTTTAAGATTCTTGATCGTCTTCCCCCCCCCCCCCCCCTTTTTTCCTTCTCCCTCGCAAGTCGCATGTAGACCTATTAGATAATTACGTTTGACTAACACATACATAAATGACCTGCAGAGCAATATATCCTCCACCTCTCACAATTCCGAAATCTCGACGAAACCATCACAGTCCTTAACGCCTACCAAAGGTTCCGCAGCCACTGCATGGACGCAGGGATGAACACTACTTTCCCCAAGCTCCTCATATATCATTACGGGCCGTCCCGCAGCTCCAAAAGTACCTTGATCTACGATGCCATCCTCTCCCATATCGAGACGGACATGCCGCGTCTCAGATCGTGCATCTATGTAATGCAAATCGGCCCGCCAGACCAACTCTGGAATACTCTTCTGACCAAAGCAAAAGTCGTCATTGAGCTATCCATGTGCGAAGGTATTCCCGCCATGCTGCTGGCCGCCGTGCAGAAGGGGAAACCCATAATCACTGTCAATGAAATGGGTCAGTTTTCCTTTACCAAGGGTGTTGATAATATACTGTTCTTTCAGAAGGGCGATGTGGACACCATCGCCAGGCTTTTGACAGATCTTTGGACTGATCCTCAGCTGAGCGAGTTGTTGCTACCGGGGCCGAGGAGGTTGAGGGATGAGTACACGACGGTTGGGAATGCGGTCAATTGGTTGTTCTTGGCGGCGGAAATGTCGCGAGAAGGTAATGCTGTGGAGCCGGAAGGGAAGAGTATCTTTGAGTTGGCTGGTCAGGGGCCTGGTTTGTGTATTTGAAATGGTATTGCCCAATGCTCGTTTTCCTGACCAACGCGTGGGATGAAGCCCTTTTTGATTCAATATTCACTACTTGACTTGTGTAATGGAGGGGATAGTATGTTAGCCATATGAAACTATCGAATATGATCCAGGCTAAATTGCTGACTATGTGGAATTTGGATACACAGCAAGTGCCACATCTATTTACTACCAAAATAGGAGAAGAACAGACACATAATTATACCTAGTATAGGAAATGTTCCTCCATTCGTAAACATATATAGAGAGAGAGAAAGACGAATAGATTATACCCGAATACAGCTCCCATTCGGGGCTCTTCTCGGGCCGTCAACGGCCGTTTAGTATAGCACTAAGCAACTCTCATCGACAATTGTGCCATACTCCGTAAATGTGCTCTATACTTATTGTGGATGCAGTAGAGGGTCTGAAAAAGCGGTGATCACTGATTATAGTAGGCTACTTCCCTTTCTGAGGCTTTATACTACCAATTATAAGATTAATCTAATAGTCTAAAAGTAGACTAATAGGCAGAAAGAATACAGTCTAGTAGATATGTTAATAGATATTGTGTTGTAACATGGAATTGACCAGTGGAAAATATTTATTGGGAAGGTATCTCGATTAGAGTTGCATGCGGGTCGGGTTTTAATATGTCTCCCCCCGCACCCGACCGAAAACCCGCTAGGTTTAGGCCTCCCCGACCCGTGGGCGGGTTCCCTGCCAAGAAAAACCCGCACGGGTTTTCCAGGTTCGGGGCGGGTTGGGATTCGGGACGGGTCTCGCGGGGAACCTGTGCCGCTCTAGATATTCACCCTATAGACTGGGTTTCATCCATTTACCCTATGAGCCGGTCCATGGAAATCATCGTCCAAATCATCAACGCCACAACCCTGGTCCTTACAAGCGATGACAAGCCACCTTTGCCCGTTCACCTGCTTAGCTGCCGCCTTTGCTGCACCCTGTTTTCTGCTCTTTCTGCCGCTTAGTGTCGTCCCTTCTTAGCATCGTCGTCTAGCGCCTTGTCTAACTCTTTCTGGTAGTCCTCTTGGGCCTTTCTCAGGTCCTTCTGCAAGTGTTCCATGTCTTTCCGCAGATCCTTCATTTTGTGATGAGAGGGGCCCTGCTGCATATGCTGGGAAACGCGGTTGATCTTGTCCTGAAGCTCTTCGACTTCCTCCTGTCTTTTCATCACAGACTTTTTATTGTGATGCAGCCGATTCAGTGGATAGAATTGACTCGGTGGATATGGGCCTTGCGGGGGATACTGTTGATATGGACCCGCTTGCGGATATGGCTGCGGAGGGAATTGCTGCGGGTAGGGACCGCCTTGGGGAGGAAGGTTCTGTTCATGCTGGTGCTTCTTGTAGGCGTCTTGAGCAATGGAACCGGCAATCGCACCACCGATGGTTCCGAGGAAGCCGTGGTTGGCCTTGTGGCCAGCGAAACCACCGACAGCGCCACCGGCAAGAGCACCGGCAAGACCACGCTCACCACCCTGGGCTTCACCAGGGGCGGTCTGCTGCTGCTGCCCGTTGTAAGACTGGGGGTATTGAAACTGCGGGTACTGATTCTGAGGCTCTGGGTACTGTTGCGGATATGATTGCTGATACCCTTGGGGAGGGCCCTGGGGAGGTGGAGGCCCAGAGTAGCCATACCCATTTTGGGAGGGAGTTCCATAGTACTCTGAATTCATTATTGCTAGCCGGGATCGAGAAGGTTCAAGGCTGAATTTTGAAAAGTAATGTAGTATGCTGAGTATTCTATCCCATTCCCCAGCAGGGGAGCAACGGCCTACAAATATGTAAATTTAAGAATCCCGTCTAGCCCTAAGTATCCACTACCCCTTAAGGAAGAGACTGCGAAGAAACGTCAGCCGGGATATGACGACAGCACAGACTCCACATAAATCTTCTGTCCCGCAGCGCGCATATTTATTTGGATATGATTGGCATTCATACTATGTTCTTGTTCGTCATTGGGTCACGTTTTAGCCCCCATGTATCAACACCCGACTCATTTTGGCCCCCATGTCTGGCTTGTGCCGCTGGTTCTTATGTATGGCTGTGCCTTTTTTTTTCTTTCTTTTTTTCTTTTTTTAATATATATTCGGGAATTCTGTTTAGATTACTTCTATTGGACAAGAGTCCTGAGTCCGGGCTCCGATGGATTACCTCTACGGGGTATCCACTCCATATTTAGAAACCCCAGCCACGTATACCCGTGTATATTTTTAACGAATAAGTTGCTCTGTTCGCCAAGGAGTCCTATATTTAGTCGGCTACATCAATTTAAGCTATCTTTATAATTTCCTCCTGCGTTGCTGTGGAGTAAACGTAGTTTATCAATTGATCAATACATCCAAAGCTGTGGAGGGAAGCCGGGATTCACTGGTCCGTTGGAGCTTATTTATCTTGGCTTGGTTTAAGGTTGTGCCCCTCCTCTTCTTACTTATATCAACCATCTCGTTTAAAGAGAGAAAATACTAGTACCGCTTCAATTGTATCGGACTCAAGTGGATGACTTTAGGATCGATGGATAGAACCTTGAAAATTTATTCGTCAGAAGGTTGTGCAACCGTTTTCTGTCGGCCTCCAGCCGTCGCAAGTAACTACGGAGACGCTGTTAGTAGAAAGGCGAGGTCGCTTGAGAGGAAGAATGTGTGCTCTCACTTCTCTGATATGGTAACTTCTCTCGCCCTCGGAGGAAACATATATTCATCGCTTTTATCTGCTTGAACACGGGAGCGACACGGATGTTCGCCCGAGCATTGACCTCACGTATGTGCATGACATCGGCAACACCTGCCGGCATTTAAGTGACTCTTCACCGTCGTCGGCATTGGGATCCGCTTACGCCACGAACAGTGTCCGTGTGCGTTTGTGTGTCTTCATGGCAATCCACCGATCTCCTGGGATGTACTTTTGTCGCGTATTTATTGAGAAGAAGCATATCACTAACTGCGTGCGGGGAAGAAAAGACGGGTGTTCGGCCCGCACTTGATTCGCCGACTCTCCTCTCGCTTTGGATTATCGTCGTTTATCACCGTAACCCCGCATCTTGATGTGAGGATGAATCACTGGAGGACCGGCGATTGGTAATATTATTTAAAGATGAAGTAGCGCCAGTCCTTGACTGAACACGCTTGCAGTCATACTCAAACCAGAATTGCTCTACAAAACCTGAACTACTGACACAATGGTACAGAATGGTATCCGCATTGCCATCGACAGAGGCGGAACATTCACAGATGCCTGGGCGGATATACCTGGCCGACCAGATCATGTCGTCCTCAAGATTCTCTCAGTCTCTCCGGACGAGTACGACGATGCCCCAACAGAATGTATCAGGCGGATTCTAGGAATGGCAAGCGGCGAGGAGATACCTAAGGGCTCTCTGCTTGATTTATCATCAGTTGAATCCATTCGAATGGGCACGACAGTGGCTACAAATGCGCTTCTCGAACGGAAGGGAGATCGCGTAGCCCTCATGGTAACCAAGGGCTTTCGCGATTCGCTCCTAATTGGTAACCAGGCTCGGCCCAACATATTTGACCTTTCAGTGCAACGGCTTAAGCAGCTCTATGAGACTGTGGTTGAGGTTGACGAACGCATCACGATTGAAGGATATAGCGAGGATCCCGAACCCAAACCCATCGATACCACGTCTGATCCCAATCTCGTCGTCGGTCTGACTGGCGAAGTAGTGAGGATCTTACGAACACCAGATCTGGATACCGTTCGCGTACAACTAGAGACGTTGCAATCACAAGGCTACCAAAATCTAGCCATTGGACTCATGCATGCATATACATACCCCGAGCACGAGCTTCAAATAGCGAAACTAGCCGAACAAATGGGCTTCAAAGTATCAGCGTCGTCAGTTCTGCAATCGATGGCCAAATTCGTCCCGCGAACCCAATCGGCCGTGGCTGATGCGTACCTCACTCCAATGACCGCGTCGTATCTCGAAGGCTTTCGGAAGGGGTTCAAGGGCCAGCTGGACGATGAGAACGCAAACAAGGTACTACTCAGTCAGTCGGATGGTGGCTTGGCAACCTGGAACAGTTTCTCGGGTCTCCGAGGAGTTCTAAGTGGCCCTGCAGGAGGTGTTGTGGGTTTGTCGAGAACATGTTATGATGCGGAGGAAGGCCGACCGGTGCTGGGATTCGACATGGGCGGAACGAGTACCGATGTGGCCCGGTATTCGGGCGCTCTTGAGCATATCTTTGAAAACACCATCGCGGAGGTTACCATTCAGACACCTCAGCTGGATATCAACACTGTCGCAGCCGGAGGTGGATCGATATTGACCTGGGAGACTGGTTTGCTAAAGGTTGGGCCACAGAGTGCCGGCGCAAATCCCGGTCCTGCATGCTATGGAAAAGGTGGTCCGTTGACCGTGACGGACGCCAACCTGCTGCTAGGGCGAATCATTCCGGAGTATTTTCCGAAGCCTCTCGATTTGGATATTGTCAAACAAAGGTTTGCCGATTTGACGGACGTCGTTAACAGAGACAAAGGAGGTGGAGATGCATTTACCTCAGAAACCCTGGCACTAGGCTTCTTGGCTATCGCGAATGCAACGATGACAAGACCCATCCGCAAGCTCAGCGAAGGCCGAGGGTACAGCGCCGCTAGCCATAACCTTGGCTGCTTCGGAGGTGCTGGGGGGCAACATGCTGTGTTTATTGCTCGAGATCTGGGGATCCAGAAAGCAATTATTCCCCGCTACTCAAGTATCTTGTCTGCGTACGGAATGGCTCTAGCCGATGTGGTAGTCGAGAATCAGGAGCCTGTGGCGTGGAAATTTGAGGAGGATACTCTGTCTAAGCTTCAGACACGGCTAGATTTAATATCTAAGAAAGGCGTAGAGGCCTTGAAACTCCAGGGGTTTGATGAGGAGTCTATCGTACATGAATGTTTCCTGAACATGAAATATCAAGGCAGCGATACCACTCTGATGATTCGTGAACCTGACCAACTTTCAGACTTTGGAGTGGCTTTCAATATGAGACATGCACAAGAATTTGGATTTTCGCAGTCTCGGGATATATTGATTGATGATATCCGCGTACGGAGTATTGGAAGATCTCGAGTTGTGGACACCTCGAGCCCGTTCAAGGAACTGAACAAGTTGGACGATCGCTCTACGGTTCAGCCACCTGCGCCGGCATTTACACGGAAAGTATTCTTTGACATACTTGGTTGGGTAGATACCAGCGTTTACACGCTCCCTCAGTTGAACCCCGGCACCCGGATCAATGGGCCGGCCATGATTATTGACGAGACTCAGACAATTGTGGTTGACCATGCAAGCAGAGCGACCATCTTGCCTGGGCATGTGGTTTTAGAAGTTGGAAGTGTGAATCAGGAGCAGCTTTCAACTAATGCTGTGGACCCCGTCCAGCTGAGTGTGTTCAGTCATCGGTTCATGACCGTGGCGGAGCAAATGGGCCACACAATGGAGAAAACCTCTATATCGGTTAATATCAAAGAGAGGTTGGATTATTCTTGCGCCATTTTCTCAGCCGACGGTGGGCTCGTGGCTAATGCCCCTCACATCCCAGGCCACCTTGGCTCCATGAGTACAGCAATCACCGCCCAGATTGAGCGACATCCACCGGGTGATCTGAGACCTGGCGATGTCATCATCAGTAACCACCCGGCTGCGGGTGGCACCCACTTACCCGATATTACGACCATTACACCCGTGTTCGACGACGATCAGAACCCATCGGCCATCTTGTTCTACGTGGCTAATCGCGGTCACCACGCCGACGTGGGTGGAATTGCACCGGGTTCTATGCCCCCCAATTCGACCGAGCTCTGGCAAGAGGGCGCGGCCATCGAGTCATTCAAACTGGTCAATCAAGGCGTCTTTGACGAGACTGGATTGATCAAACATCTGTACGAGATTCCCGGCACATTCCCGGGTTGCAGTGGCACCCGCACGTTGAGCGACAACATTGCCGACCTGCAGGCAGCTGTAGCGTCGAACCAAAAGGGCATCCAGCTGATCCAAGCTCTCATTAAAGAGTTTACCTGGCCAGTCGTCGAGTTCTACATGAAGGCAATCCAAGAGAATGCCGCACAGGCCGTGCGGGACCTACTTAAAGGCTTCGCCGAACGATACGAAGGCGGAATACTGGAAGCAGAGGAGAGGAACGACGACGGAATCCCGTTCCACCTGCGAGTGACAATCGACAAGGAGACGGGCAACACAATTTTCGATTTTACTGGGACTGGACCGGAGCATTCGGGAAATCTGAATTCCCCGCAAGCCTGCTTACATTCTGCGATCATGGTAGGGACCCACCGGTTAATAAATATCTGATCTTTGCTAATGAATTCTAGTACTGTCTCCGATCGATGATTTCTGCAGATATACCCCTCAACCAGGGTTGTCTAGCTCCAATTCAGGTAGTCTGCCCCGAGGGTACGATACTATCACCCTCTATCACTGCCGCAACGGTCGGATGCACCACCGAGACATCATCCAAGATCGCTGATCTCGTCCTCAAAGCCTTCCAAGCCGCCGCCGCTTCGCAAGGCACCATGAACAACCTGACATTTGGCTACGGAGGCACCGACCCAACCACAGGAGAGGTCGTCAAGGGGTTCGGATACTACGAAACCATAGCCGGCGGGGCGGGAGCAGGACCCGATTGGGAGGGTACCAGCGGAGTACACACCC